AAAAAATATTATTTTTAATCCAGCCCTTTTGAAAAGTTTGACTTCAAATTTGTTGTCAAGTACTCCTTATTTTATATTCTGTATCACTTTTAAAATGTACTAAATTTTTTTAAATTGCTTGAAATTCTTTTCAAAAACTAGTTCCTATTTCATCTTATTTGCTACAAGTTCTCTGCTAAGCTTCCAATTTCAAAAAAACACGAAAAAAATGAAAGAAAATTTTCCCAGCTTATATTACCCAACAAAACTTGAAAATCCTCTCCACTAGATTACATACACGCACACACACACGCACACATTTCTATGTTTTTTGTTATTGGCAAATTCCCTAAGAACATGATGTCCTCCTGTGAACAAAGGCCATGGCAAAATATACAGCTCCTAGAAAATTGCAAAGATACTTGTGTATTTCTTTGTATATGTATGTGTGTCTGTGTGTAAGGGAATGAAACTTTTCTATTTACTTATGTTTTTTTCTCCTGCCACTTGAAAACAAAACTCTTACAACACTCACTCACGCACTTGCCCACACGTTTAGTTATTTTTTCCACATTGAGGCGAGTGGACCAGCAGTTCCCCATCCTTGCAAACCTGTTAAAAGTAAAGGAAATTGTAACTTTTTAAAAAAAAAGAAAAACAGTTTTCTCATTAAGAAAACAACAGGAGCCGCACTTTGTTATGAATGACTAGTTTTTGTTTCTTTTCTTTTTTCTATTATTTTGTTTGTTCTTCCCTTTGTTACATGTAATGCTATTGACACTTCTCCTGCTGCGTTCTATTTTTTCTTTTCTTTTCCGTTTTACTGCGACTTGTCAGACATTCTTCATTGTGTTGTACAGGCATTCATTCATCTTCTGCATAACTCAGACCCTGTTTCAGTTTTTTTCCGCAACCTCTTCCTTAAGGGGGAGAACAAATTAAGTTGAGGTGTGAAAAAACGTTCTGCTTCCCCTCTTACAGCCTTCGACTTCTTCCTTTATAAGATACTCACACAGGACATGCCTATGTTAGGTCCTGCTACCTTTATTATATACATTTTTCTCCGCTTTGTTTGTTTAGTTCTAAAAGTAGCAGAATATAAGTTGTAAGGAAATTGTTGATATTATTACAGCTGTTGTTATTTTTGTTTATTTTTTTCTTCTTTTACTATTTTCTCTCCTTTTTATTATGTATGGAGGAAAACGGAAAAGTTTCCTGTTTTTTCCCCTAGTTAACAACTCTCTTGTTTATGTGCAGCAAGCGTGATTTAATCATGTTAGCGTAATGACACAAGAATACACAAATTTAAGTTCTTCCTTTAATAATATTTTTTAATATAGCTTAGAAAAAAAAAATTTTAAAATATCCAAGCCTAAAAATATAACTTGAAAATATTTTTTTTTTTAATTTTTCCCAAGATTATACCTTGGAATATATCTAAAAAAATTTATTCCTATAATAGGCTATAGAAACTATAACAAATACTTATAATAGGCAATTGAAAAATCGTCTTAAAAATGTGCGCCCAATAATAGGCAATGAAAAATATTTAAAAAAATATATTCTCTAAATAATCCACTCCTATTGATAGGCCATGAAAAATATTTAAAAAAATATATTCTCTAAATAATCCACGCCTATTGATAGGCCATGAAAAATATTCTCTAAATAATCCACGCCTATTGATAGGCCTTGAAAAAATATTATTAAAAACCCCACGCCTATATATACAAAAAAAATATTCTTAAAAAAAATCACGCATATTTATGGCCTTGAAAAAATATTCCTTAAAATATGCAAGCCTATTTATAGGCTTTAGTCTTTTAGAATTTAGACAGACTTCGATAATACTAGGCATTAATAGTATTTTTTTGGAAAATCCACTCCTAACTAGTAATGAAAGTAGTAAAGTCGGACTGGGCCGACTATATGATACCCTTCACCGCTTTGAATATATTATACATATGTATCGTAAGCGACGTCGCCTTTTCGAAGGAACACTGACATGAAATTGAACGAACTTAAATCTAAATCTATGCTATGGAAGGGACAGATATCCCTCTCAAAGACATGAACATGCAGAACAACAACAACATCAGGTGTAAATAATAATATACAGAAAAAAAAACAAGATTTCTGTAAAAACACATATCATGAGCGAACAAATATATAAGAGAGGTTGTTAGATGTACTTCAACGTATAAAACATTCAATTATAGTAACTTCAGTACTTTGTACGAAATTGTGTGCCGGTCGGCAAAACTTTGGGTCTTTAGTGCACAATTTATATTAAATCGTGCGAAAAAATATATATGGGAGCTAAATCTAAATCGGCAGCGATTTTCACGAAACATAGCACACAACATTCTGGACCTAATTCAGTACCCTATGCCAAATTTCGTGCAAATCAAAAGATTATATATCTTCGGAGCCCCATTTACCTTAAATCGGACGAAAATATATATGGGTGCTATATATAATCTGACACGATTTTCTCGACATTTGGCACACATCATTCTAGACTCAATTGAGTACGCCATGCCAAATTTCATGCAAATCGAAAGATATATAGAGACTTTGGTGCACCATTTACCTTAAATCGGACGAAAGTATATATAGAAGTTATATCTAAATCTCAACCGATCTTCTCAAAATTAGGCACACATTATTCTAGACTCAATTGAGTACGCCATGCAAAATTTCGCGCACATCGAAACATATATAAGGACTTTGGTGCACCATGTACACAAAATCGGACGAAACTATATACGGGAGCAATATCTAAATCGGAAGCGATTTTCTCGAAACTTAGCACATATCATTCTAGACACAATTTAGTACACTATACAAAATTTCGTGCAAATCAAATTATATAGAGGGGCTTTGGTGGACCAATTACATAAAATCGAACAAAATTATATATGGCAGCTATATCTAAATCTGAACCGATTTTGAGCAAACTTAACACACATCATTCTAGACACAATTCTGTATACTATGCAAAATTTCGTGCAAATCGAGTGACATATAGCGGCTTTGGTGGACCATTTACGTTAAATCGGACGAAACTATATACGGGAGCTTTATCTAAATCTGAACCGATTTTCTTCAATTTCAATAGGGTTCTTCCTTGGGCCAAATTAATGAGCTGTGCCAAATTTCATCCAAATCGAATCATAAATGCGACCTGTACTTTGTTTGCAATTTATCATCTACAGACGGACAGACTGACGAACATGCATAAATCGACTCAGGAAGTGATTCTCTGCATATTCTCAAAAGGAACCATGTGTCTATCTAGTTTCCTTTTGCCTGTTACAAACATATGCACAAAGACATAATACCCTGTACCACAGTATGTACCTAAGGGAATACCTTGAAAACTATTTTTTAAAATCTCGCCTAAGGGTATACCTTGAAAACTATTTTTTTAATCCACGCCTTATATACCATACGACACACTACACACCTCCACGGAACTCTAACTTTCTGCGGATGTGTCTTGCCAGCCTGGGAAATTTTTCCGGTATTTGCACCCTCTTGCCTGATTAGAGGTCAACAGTACCTCTTCCTTACACTGACATATATTCCGAATATCACTAATATTCAGTACAGCCCTTCTAATTACTTGTCCAGATTTCCTTCACCGTGAGTTGTGTTGTGATGTTCGGCTTATAATTAAGTTTTAAGTTTAAGTTTTCGATCCACTTCATTCCAAAATTATTACCTGATCATGACCGAAAATCGTAGGCGTTGTCCTTGACCATAACTGGAATCTCATGGAAAGTTTCAAAGCGATCAGCGTTATATTTCCGCCATCTAGTGTGTTAATGGACTACTAAATAATATCTAAGTACGTAAGCACCTGTAAATATTTAATTGCAACTTCAACATCTGAGTACATACGACCAAATAATTGGTATCAATTTAAAGCTCAGCCACTCCTCTTGGATTTACTATCAACTTCTCGGGTCTATGTCCTTCAAGAGTAAATATATACGTCATACAATACAAATTTTGTCATTTTTCACACAAAAGTCAGGGTCCATTTGAACCGTTAAAAATTGACCAATCTTTATCAAAACAGGCTTGCTCATTCTTTAGCCCGATCCCGTTCTTAATGCAAATATTCGCGATGTTTGGCCCATAATTGAGGCTTCTGAAGCGACCAGAAAAATCGACAAAAATAAAGTTTTTGGTCCATTTCAACCCCTAAATATTAACCGATCTTTACCAAAAACAATAGGGTTCTTCACTGGGCCGAACCCATCCTACAAGCAAAATTTCGTGAAGATTGGTCCATAACTGTGCCCTGTATCTTGTTTACAAATTATAATGGACAGACGGACGGACGGACACACATGTCTAGATTGACTCAGCTAGTCGGGGTATGACAATCGGTACACATAAAGGTGGGACTAGGACCAATATTTTGCGGCGTTACAAACTCTTGGGGCTGCACCAAAGCTATAATACCCTGACAACATAGTTGTGTAGGGTATAAATATTAAAATAAAAAAAAAACACTTAAAAATATACCTTGGAAGATAGTTTTTAAAATTATCGCCTAAGGGTATACCTTGAAAAGTATTCTTTTTTAAATCTATGCCTTATATAAATACTATTCTTAAAAAACCAACGCCCAAAAATATACCTTGGAAAATAAGTTTTAAAAATCTCGCCTAAGGGTATACCTTGAAAACTATTTTTTTAATCCACGACTTATAATAGGCTATAAAAACTGTTTGTAAATTCACTTCTTATAATAAACTATTTTTTTTAATCCACGCCTTATAAAAGGCTATAAAAACTATTTTAAAAAATCTCGCCTAAGTGTATACCTTGAAAACTATTTTGTTTTCACGCCTTATAATAGGCTATAGAAACTGTTTGTAAATTCACGCCTTATATATAGGCTATACAAACTATTTTTAAAAAGTGCTCAATTCTGTTAATTTTTTTTATTTCTTTGAATTCTTAGTAATAATTATTTTCCCCCCATATTTTCTCTCTTTTTGCAGTTTCGATGTAGAAAATGGCCAAAGTGCTCGATCTCCGCTCGAGGGCGGTTCACCAAGCGCCGGTCTCGTCTTGCAAAATCTTCCACAGCGTCGCGAATCGTTCTTATATCGTTCCGATTCTGATTTTGAAATGTCACCCAAATCAATGTCCCGCAATTCAAGCATTGCTAGTGAAAGGTAAGTTTCGATGTTTTTTATTCAAATAATTAGTTTTTTATATATGCTTAAAATTTTAACGAAAAATTTAAACTAAATAATTATAATTGATTAAACTAAAAAATAATGCTTTCAAACGCATTTGCTATTTAAATTTTTTTTTCAATTTTATTTGTTATATAAAATGTGTAATTAATAATTTTTAATATTTTATAGTATTTCAGTTCATTCTTAAATAATTTATTTATTTACGTATATTTTTAATTTGTCATCTATAAATGTTTGCTATGACATTTTAATGGCCTGACTTGTTTAGAATTTTTTTTTTAACACTTCATGTAATTGCATTGATTTTGAAATTTTACACAGTAACCCTAACACTTGCAAGCTATAATATCAGATTATTTAGAATTCACGCGTAATAAAAGAGCTCGAAAAAATGAATTTAAAACTCCACGCCTAATAATAGATCTAAAAAACTGGTTTCAAAGATACACTCAAATTGATTGTACTTTTAAAAAATTATTTTAAAAATCCACGCCTAATAATAGATCTAAAAACGGTTTTAAAAATACACTTCTATGGATAGTCCTCCAAAAAATTATTTTAAAAATCTGCGCCTAATAATAGACCTTGAAAATAATTATTTAAAAAATCAACCTCAATCGATAGATATTGAAACCATTTTCCTTTAAAAAATTATATTAAAAATATTTTTTAAATTCAAATTTCCCTATATATAATTCCAAAACCTCAACGGAAGCCATAACTGATCAATATCATGTTCGTAAAATTTTAATGTAATTAAATCTATTTAATAACATTTTAAATCTCTCCACAAAAAAAACTACTAATATTTTTCAAAAAAAAAAAAAAATATTCAACACAGCAAAATATTAACAGCTGCAATTTGCAAAAATTATGCAGCTGCACATAAAGAGAAACCACAAATTAAATGTTATTAACCAAAGCAAAACAATTTCGAGCACTACCACCCTGCACACCTCCCCTCGTTCACCCTCTCCCTCCACAACTGTAAATAGTCTAACAACACGCCAACAAATTCGCACTTAAAATTTATGAGATTTTTTTTCTCAGTTCAGTTTTTAGTTCGTTTTTGTAAAAGGCCAACCCGTCCGTCCAACCATCACCCCAAAACTCATTAGCAATAAAATTATATATTTAACGTTTTGCCAGTTGCCGTTGTTGCTGTTGTTGTTTCTGTTATTTTTTTTGATACGAAAATAAGCTCATAAAAATTGTAATCTGAAAACAAAAATCAACAACTAGAAATGCCAGAGAAAATTTGTTGTAACAAAAATATTTTACAAAACTAGCAGTTTCGGACATTTGATTTCACCTTCCTCTTCTTCTTTTTTGGAAAAATGTGGAATATATATTTGTAAAATATATTTGATTTGAGGCGTAAAAGAGAATTAATAGGCATTTACACCGGTACTGCAGATTTTAGGTATTGCACCAAAGTCCTTATATATCCTTCAATTTGCACGAAATTTGGCACAGCGTACTGAAATAAGTCTGGAGAGATGTGTGTTAAATTTCGTGAAAATCGGTTCCGAATTAGATATACCTCCCATATATTTTTTCGTCCGATTTTATGTAAATGGTGTACCAAAGTCCCTATATATCCTTCGCTTTGCACGAAATTTGGCATAGCGTACTGAATTAAGTCTAGAAAGATATGTGTTAAATTTCGTGAAAATCGGTTCAGATTTAGATATAGCTCCCATATATATTTTCGTCCGATTTAGGTAAATAGTGCACCAAAGTCCCTACATATCTTTCGATTTGCACGAAATTTGGAATAGCATTCTGAATTAAGCCTAGAACGACGCATGTTAAATTTCCTGAAAATGTGTTCAGATTTAGATATAGCTCCCATATATATTTTCATCCGATTTTAGCTAAATGTCTGTATATATCATTCGATTTGCACCAAATTTGGCATAGCGTCCTGAATTATTTCTAGAATGAAGTGTGCTAAATTTCGTGAAAATCTGTTCAGATTTAGATATAGCTCCCATATATATTTTCGTCCGATTTTATGTAAATGGTGCACCAAAGTCCCTATATATCCTTCGATTTGCACGAAATTTGGCATAGCGTAATGCATTAGGTCTATAACTATGTGTGTTAAATTTCGTAAAAATCGGTTCAGATTTAGATATAGCTCTCATATATATTTTCGTCCGATTTCAAGTAAATGATCCGCCAAAGTCCCTCCATTTCTCTCGATTTGCACGAAAGTAGGCATAACGAACTAAATTAAGTCTAGAACGATGTGTGTTAAATTTCGTGAAAATCGGTTCAGATTTCGATATAGCTCCCATATATATTTTCGTCCGATTTTAGGTAAATAGTGCACCAAAGTCCCTATATATCCTTCGATTTGCACGAAATTTGCCACAGCATTCTAAATTAAGCCTAGAACGATGTGTGTTAAATTTCGTGAAAATCAGTGCATTTTTAGATATAGCTCCCATATATATTTTCGTCCGATTTTACGTAAATAGTGCACCAAAGTCCCTCGATTTGCACGAAATTTGGATTTATAACTAAATGCAGAACTCAAAATGTGGCCGAATGGACAAACCATACTGAAATAAGTGTAATCTAACATATGGCAAGTTTCGATGAAATCGGTTTAGATTTCGATATTATGCTCTAAATTTATTTACATAATTTTGTCCCAATGGAGGAAGTGACTCTATATCTGACCAAAATTTAGTATATGTTGCAAAAAGACATGTTTAATTTCATGCTAATGTTCCTTCAAAAATGCGACGTCTGTTAGGATTCCATCTGTTGAATATACCAAAGTGGTGAAGGGTGCTATACTGTTTTTAAATATTTTTAAAATTTTTTCAAAAAAAAAAAAAAAACAACAAAAAATTATGGCGGGACGCCTCTAAATGGTCCTTAAAAACACGCTTTTAAATAATTACTTACTTAGCTGGCTTGTTACAGAACGTTTGTTCCATAAGCCGAGCTTAAAAAAGATTTTCAAGCGCGTCTGTCTTGCGCCTAAATCCACATTTGGAAGTCCACGTTCCAAGATGCTGTTTTCTACTTGGTCTTTCCATCTAATTCGTGGCCTTCCCCTTTTACGGGAACCATCAGTAGGCTCGTTTTTATATGCCTTTTGAGCTGGGGCATTCTCATTCATTCGCACAACATGGCCTAGCCGTCGTAGTCGCTGCAGCTCAATACGACTGACTATGTCGATGTCCTCGTATAAATTGTAAAGCTCGTGGTTCATTCGACGCCGATATTCACCATAGATCTTTCGCAGAATTTTTCTTTCAAACACCCCCAAGAACTGCCTCAACTGTTTGCGCAAGTACCCATGATTCAGATCCATATAACAGTGTGCGTTTGGTTTGGACTTGTTTCTAAACTGCCTACTTAGACCGTAGTAGCATCTGTTGGCCATTACATTCCTTCTCCGAATTTCAAAACTGATGTCATTCGTTTTATATATTGCGATACAGAGGTACATAAAATCTTTAACTACATCGAAGCTGTAGTTCTCAAGTTCCACAGTTGGTCCGATTCTATTATACGTCTTACGTGTTGATACCATCAGCTTGGTCTCGCCGTTTACTGCCAGACCCACATTGGCAGATCCCTTCTCAATTTGTTCAAAGGTGGCTGTTACCGCACGCAATGTTCGACCCATTATATCGATGTCATTGACGTAGGCAAGTAACATGTGTTGTTTGGTGTACATAGTGCCATTTCTGTTCACCTTTGCGTCACGTATGACCTTTCCAGCAGGATGTTAAAAAGATCACACGACAAACTGTCACCTTGTCTGAATCCTCGTTCGGTATTGAAGGGCTCCGATAGGTCCTTTCCGACTTTAACTGCTGAACTTGTGCCACTTAAAGTTATACTGCATAGCCGTATTAATTTTGCAGGAATGCCGAACGTAGACATGGCTTTAAACACCTCTGAACGGATAGGTCTGTCTAATGCGGCTTTATAGTCGACGAATATGTGGTATGTGTCGATGTGTTTTTCGTGGGTCTTTTCCAGGATTTGGCACAGAATGAAAATCTGGTCAATGGTGGATTTGCCAGGTCTGAAGCCGCATTGGTATGGTCCAATAAAGTCATTGACCATTGGCTTCAGTCGTGTCATGGGAAGGAGACTTATTCCTCTATAGTTGGCACATATCGTCTTGTCTCCTTTTTTGTGCACGGGACACTGGATGCTGAGGTCCCAATCATTCCAATCATGCATTTCACTAGCCAAATTGTAGTAATCAGCTGGTGCATGTACCTGACCAGCATCTGACTACAAGTCTTGAATAGTTCGGCTTGTAAACCATCGGCACCTGCTTCTTTCTAGGCGCTCATAAAATATGTCTTTGGTCTGCTCAAAAAAAATCCAACCATCTAATGGTCCGTGAAAAAATATTTTTAAAAATAAATTATTATTTTTCGGCTTCTTTAGAGAATCCTTGAAAAAATATCCTGAGTGTGTGTGTTTATGAGGTTTCGATGTTTACCCACTTTATTCATGTGAGGTATCTTTCGAAGATACCCTCACACAGAAATTCACTCGTATACCAAAGCACACATTGACCTCCAGTCAACCACTGTGTAACCAAGTTTTATAACCTTTTCATAATATTCTCCACCCCCTCTCTACTTCTGGGAGGCTCGGCTAGCCAACCATAACTGTATTAAAAGAAAAGCAACAAAAAAAACTCATACCGAATTTTTGGCATAGAAAAATATATTTTTGTGTAATCATTTCTTTTTTTTCATAATAGTTCATACACAAAAACAACAACCAACTACCACTACTGTTGCTCACTCACACAAACACACACACTTTGTGTAGATATATATTCACAATGATATCAAACAAAAATAGCCTTTGGCATCAAAATATTTCACTTTGCAGGTCATCTTATGTGTGTGTGCCTGTATGAAGTTGTGTCAGTGTAAGTTTATGTTTGTGTGTATATTTGTTTGTTTACCTTGTATTAC